GGCGCGCCTGCTGGGTCTTAGCGCCGGCCACCGAGGGCGGGAAGTGGGGGGGCCTGGGTGGCGTCCCCCTTCTTTTTCAGAGGGCCCCACAGTGTCCTGTGTCCCATACGTTGGCCAGACTGCTTTTGGGAGGTGGATGGTGGGGAGATGCTTCCCATCTGGGCCCGGAAGCCCAGAAAGCCCTCCCCCACAGACAGTGCCTCCACCTCGAGCCCTACCTACGAGGACCGTGTCGCCTCCCTCAACTCTGCCCGGGCGGAGGGCGAAGCCCTGGAACCTGCTCTTTCATCACAGAGCCCCTCGGCACACTCCACGGGTCCCCCCAGCCCAGGTCGGCAGGCACACACCTAGTTTTACGCTGCACGCCTCCTCGGTCGCAAACACCCCATGATCTCCACCCCGCTCTCCAAGTCCTCCTTGCAGTCTCGCTTCTGCAATGAAGATATTCTTCTCGATGTTAAGATCTGCTCAGTTACACTCCGCTAAATTAAAATAATAATAATAAGATGCTCTTCTCCGGAGAGGCCTTCCCTTGGGGGGGGGCACTGAGTTACCTCCCGCTTTGGTGGTCTCACCACGCACTGGGAGGGGCGTAACTTTAGGGATGCCAACAGGAGCTAGGGATTTCTCAACCAGGCTTTAGGACCCGGGGGCTCCGGAAAAAAAAGACACCGAACTTTTTATTTTGGGAGTCCGCTCGGATTTCTCATCTTTTCCGAACCTCCCTCCAGGGCCCAGCTGGCCCCGGGTCTCTCAATCCCAAATGGAGACTCGGAAGTGGGGGGGGGGCGGGGAGTTCTTTGTAGTGCATTCGCGAACTCTAACACTCGCATCCTCGCCCCCTCCTCTTTTCCTACCACCACCACTACCGTCACCCCCTCCCGGCCAGCTCGGTCTCCCCAGCCCCCAATCCACGTGGACAGCCTGGGAGGGTTTGGGAAGGCGGACAGGAAGAGGGGGAGCCAGCTCTGGGAGGAGGGGGAAGGAGGCTGGCGGTGCGGCTCCCTCCGCTCCTTCGCTGGCCCTCACTGCCGGCTGTCCCAGCTCCAAGCACCATGATCCCCGCGGGGCCCCCCAGCCGCACTGTCGCCTGGCTCTCCCTCTCCTTGCTGCAGCTGCTGCTGCTGCTGCAGGCCGTCGGGAGGGGGCTGGGCCGCGCCAGCCCGGCCGGGGGCCCCCTAGAAGATGTGATCATCGAGAGGTACCTCATCCCCAAGGCCTGTCCCCGGGAAGTACAGAGGGGGGATTATGTGCGCTACCACTACAACGGCACTTTCGAGGATGGCAAGAAGTTCGACTCCAGGTAATGGGGTGGGCTGCCCCAGCCTGGCCACTCCTGGGCTCTGGGTCCTCTGGGTCCCCCCCTTTCCATCCTGGCCCCAGGATCCTCTAACTCCAAGCAGCGCCACCAGGCCTTCCAGACATCCAGCTCTCCACATTTCTCCCTGCACCTATTCCCAAGCCTGGGCCTCTCAGAGGACCCCAAGGATCTTTCACTCAAGCTCCCCATTTCGCTGCAGTGCCCTGCAGTCCAGGGAAACTGCTCCGTGTCCTTGCCATTGCTTTATTTAAAGCCATGGAGGAGTGGGGTATCCTGGACTACAGTGTGGGGCATGAGAGGAGACAGACCCTGCCGCTGTGCACCCTGGGGTGGTCACTCCGCCTGAGACTCCCTAACTTTCCACCCAGCCTGACTTCCTGTCTGATTCTAGTCCCAGTTTTCAGGGCTTCTGTGGTTAGAGAAGTGGGAATACGACTTTTTCTGGAGGAGGGAGAAAGCAGCATAGGCATTACGAAACTGTGGCAGGGCAGATGTGGGGGGGCAGTACATGGCAGGCAGGGGCCCTGTCTGTCCACGTGTCACTCACTGAGACATGCCACTCTGGGTCCCTCCAAGGGTTTTCAGGCCTCCTTTTCTGGGCCTCCAAGTACCTCACCTCCCTCCATTTTAGCTCTGCCAGGCCACCCTTGGGGGTTTGAGTCTGGTTCCTGGTTAGAACCAGGGCTTTGGTCTGCCCCTGCAAGCCTACTTTTGTGGGGACCAAGCAGGGCTGTGCGAGTCTGGGGTCAGATTCCCATGTCGCATCCCAAGAAGTCAGTCCCTCTTGGACACCCCCAACATACACAACTCAGTCCGAGAAGTTATTAACCTAACAGTAGCCTAGACTTCGGAGCAGGCAGTGGTGTACCAGGGAAGAATTAGGGACTCCAGAGTCTGAGACTGTGGGTTCAAATCAGACTATGACCGTGGACTGGGGATTTTAAGGCTTCACTTCCGTTATCTGAAAAATGAAGGTTAAAACAGCACATTCTTCCTAAGGCTAATGTTAGGATATTTCTTTCTTTCTTTCTTTCTTTCTTTTTTTTTTTGAGAGGTTTTTGCTATAGGGCGCGTGCGCTCGCCAGCCAGCCAGAGAGAGACAGAGAGATAGAAAGCGAGAAATCACCACCACCACCCCCAGGGGGGATGGCCACGCCGCAATCCCTTCTCCTCCATTCTCTCGGGATCTTGGGCACGCACGCACACACGCCCTGCATGAGTTTTAAGCCACTGGGTCCAGGACGCGAACCACAGTCGACTACACGGGAGTCCAGCGACATAGCCATTACGTTAACTGCTGGTCCCAGGATATATTTTCAAAGATGATGAATGAAAGGCTTCTCGTCCTGCCCGTCAACTTTGAGCAGGGTCCATGCATAGTTGCTTTGACTCTAGGGAGAACCATACGCCCTGCGGGTACTTACCTGTAAGAACTTCAAGCAGAGCTTAGCCTTCCGAACAACACTGGAAAGGAAACAAGCCAGACAAAGCGCTCTGAGTGGGATGTAGGCAATAGCAGGGTACAGGACTGCAACCCTTAGCCCTTGACAGTTAGGAGTGGTTGGGAGTCAGCTATGTGGGAATCCAGCACCTTAACAACCACGCCACCTTTTTTTTTTTTTTTTTTTTTTTTTTTTTTTAAGAGAAAGTTTTGCTATAGGGCAGTGTGTTCACTGGAGAGACAGAGACAGAATGGGAGAAATCACCCTCCCCCCCAGAGGGGATAGCCATGGCACAATTCCTTCTCCTCCATTCTCCTCTCGGGATTCTGGGCACACACGCACGTGTACTTAGCATGAGTTTTAAGCTGCCTGGTCCAGGGCTCGAACCACAGTCGACAATGTGGGAATCCAGTGACATAATCATTATATCATCTGCTGGTCCCAAACCTGAGAAGCTTTCTTAAGCCACTGTCCTCTTTGATCAAAATTAAAATAGTCCACCCTGCTTTATCAAAAGGAAATTTTTGTTTAAGATTTTTGCCATAGGACACATGTGTTCGCAGGAGGGAGAAAGAGAAAGAAGGAGGGAGGATGGCCCTGCTGCAATCCCTTCTCTTCCATTCTCATCTCAAGTTTTTGGGCAGACACATACACACACCCCTAGTGTGTGTGTTTTCTGTTTTTTAAGACTTTTTTTTTTTTTTTGAGAGGTTTTCGCTATAGGGCGCGTGCACTCGCCAGACAGACAGAGAGACATAGAGACAGAAAGCGAGAAATCACCCTCCAGGGGGGATGGTCACGCCGCAATCCCTTCTCCTCCATTCTCCTCCCAGGATCTTGGGCACGTACACACATGCGCCCGGCGTGAGTTCTAAGCCACCGAGTCCGGGACGCGAACCACAGTCGACTACATGGGAGTCCAGCGACATAGCCATTACGTTAACTGCTGGTTCCCAAGAATTATTTTTTAAATTTAACTTTATTTCCTTATTTTAATTTGACCAGAGAGGAACAGAGTGGAGAGAGAGAGAAAGAGAAAGTGAGAAGGCAAGCTGCTAAGTCCAGGACTCGAACCGCAGTCAGCCATGTGGGAGTGCAGAGCTCTTAACCACCACGCCACCTGCCGACCCCAACCTGTTATGTTTTTCAAACTGCCAGGTCCTGGACACAATCACACAGTTGCCCATGTGGGGTCCAGTGCCTTACTCACTGCGCCACTTGCTAGCCCTTTTCTGAAAAATTTAAAATAAATTAAAATTGGTGTAACTAAAACCAAATAAAAGCCATGACAGTTTTAGAACAGGCCTTCTCAAAATTTGAAACCATTCCTCATACCCACCTCTAACCATCTCTGCTTTCCCACCTTTCTTTGTACCTTGGTAAAAGTGTGGAATTTGGAGTTGAGCAGACCACAAATTACTGTGTGTCCTTGGACAAGTCACTTAGTCTCTCAGGTCTCATAGGAAAAATGAAAACAGCAGCAAGCAGGGTGTGGATGCAGGACAGCTGAGGCCTGGGCACCGTGGCATGTGCTCTGATCCTAGCGGCCTGGGAGACTAGGGCAGGAGGATCACAATGTGGTGAGATCCTGTCAGAAAGACCTGGGGTGACACAGGAGTTGAATGCCTCTGTGTGATGCTAGAGTCATATGGGAAGGCCCAGGGTTCAGATCCCAGGTCAACCTGCACGTGCCGGACATGCCTATAGCCACACCCCTGATCCTGGTTGGCAGGAAGGCTAGAGAATCATGGCCTGGCGTGACCCTATCTGTCCGTCTCTTTCTCATGAAATAAATAAATAAACTTTAAAAAATACCTCTTGGGGGACCAGCAGATGGCATAGTGGTTAGCGGTTACATTGCTGGACTCCCGCGTAGTCTACCGCAGTTCAAGTCCTGGACCCAGAGGCTTGAAACTCACACCAGGTGCATTTGTGTGTGCGCCCAAAATCCCAAGGAAAATGAAGAAGAGGGGATTGTGGCATGGCCATCCCCCCTGGGGGGGTGAGTTCTTGCTTTCTGTCTCTATGTCTCTGTCCCTCTGACAAGCACACATGCCCTATAGCAAAAATCTCTTACAAAAAAAATACCTCTCGGGGCCAGCCCATGGCTTACTGGTTAAGGCAACTGCATCCTGCATGGCCAAGTGAGCGGTGCAAGCCCCAG